CACTCAAGCCGACCGTTTCAACTTTCAAGATCGATGTGCGAGATTTGCGGGTGCCGAGAAATTGTTGACATTCTGGCATTGACATTTGACGTCCTTTTTATGACTTTTTTTTTTTTTTTTTCCTTCTCAGGGAAGCTTCTTCCAAAGTTTCAATCGGTTATCTCATCCAGGAGTTCAATTTCGGAAAACTTGGAAAGCATTAAACTCTATCGAAATTCCGCCCCCACCTTTGATTCTCGAAAGGGAAAGTATGAGCAACGTCCAACATCAGGCAGCTGATCTTGAGTTTGGATTTCCCCGTCTCATGGGTTGGGTTGTGTGTGTGACAGGGTGTTGCCTGGCCTCGGATTTGCCTTGACAAACAAAAAAGAGAGAATTCGAAAGGAAGCGGCAGGAACCGACTGCAACTAGCAGATCCAATGCAAGTGTCTCCGGTTTCAGACAACAAGTCCGAATTTCGCTCCAGTTTTTTTTCACACCATTGCCATCCATCTGATGTTGTCACTTGTCAGAGGAGCAAATAATTCACAGAACCAACCCGGAACTCGGAAAGCCATTCGAGTCCAGGCCCTCTTGGCAAGCAAATCACAACTCCGACAATGTCACATACATCCAATATCACCACGCATCTTTCACACGCCTCATCAGCTGTTCAGAATTGAGGGAGGGTACAAAGTAGGTAGCAAACAAGCGAAATCACCCCTCCCCCCTCCTCAAAAGCTGGCAAAGGAAAAAAAAAAAAAGATGAGGGCTGATGACCCACCACCACCCACCGACAAGACAGGGGGCGAATTCTTGCAGACCTGATCCAAACCGTTTTCTTATTTTTTTTGTGCCGAACATGCAGGTATTGCTCCATGTTGGTCAGTCTGGGCCACATGTACGCCATCGCGGGGCGCTGACCGTCCGGCAGCCAGCCAGGAAATTCGGCGCCTGCTGCGGGAGAAACCGAAAAGGGGGACCAATACGACTCGTCATATTACAGTACGGTACGTACATGTAGTGTATTGCCCACCGTGCCGCGCAAATCATCTTGCTCTCCATCCATCAATCAATCGTCGGTCCCGTCGGGTGGTCAACAAGCGAGGTAGCATTTTCAAAGTTCCGTTTCAAAACTCATCTCACTGGCCACAGCAAGCCCTCAAAAATAGCAACTACCAGTGTTGGAGTTGAAGTGGATGAACTGTTCCTCTTCTGTACCACCACTGAGAGGGCAAACGCAGCGAGCCGAAATCCGGTCGAGGGTGGTCGGGTTCCGCTTTCACATCAGATCAGATCATGGATATTACTCCTGAGCACATTTCCAAGACATGCCTACATTAGGGAAAAGCAAAAAAGAGACACGGCCCGGACTCTGGGTGGTGTCTGAGCGGAGTTGCTGCTGAGCTGGCGGGCAAGCAAGGAACCAACAACCTCTCATGTCTTTGTTATAAACAAGCATCATAACCAAAAAGCCCATGCCGTGGAACCACCGAAAAGCCCAAGAGTCGGCCGATGGGGCATTTTGAGCGGAGAGGAGATGTTCCGATTCGCAAAAAGGCCCTTGATCGGGTAACAGGATTACGGATACTGTGCTGGAGATCTCGGAAACCTCGCCGTACGGATACCGTGAGCGGCTCGCTTGATCGCCATGGCCCATGGTGGAATGGAGAAAAAGGCCGGACGGCACTCCCGTTGCTGTACTGATCCGTTTTTACTATCTCACCAGCTAGGGTAGCCGTACCGCGCAGACCACCGACTACGTACGCTCCACGTGTAAATCAATTCGTCCATTTCCAGTATTCTACCTGTCGCACAACCAGGGTCGCTGTTACACACCGTGATGAAGCTTGATGAGCCGAATGTCTCGGGTCGTGGCCGGAGAGGAAGACTCGCCATCTCTGCCCCCCCAAGACTAACGGCCTCAAAGCAAGATGAAAATGTGACAGGAAAAGAGGGGGAAATGAAATCTCTGTTTTCGTTGAGCAGGGGGTTTCGGTACCTCGTGTACAAAGTACGGTACGGATACCGTTTTCTGTCCGTCCCTGGGCTTCCCGATGGATGGCAGGCTGACTGACGCCCTTTCGGATGAGATTCCGAGAAGCTACGGAACGTTGCTGATCTCATGGCGGCTCCCCCATCACCACAATCACGGCATGGCTTACACGTGTGGCTCCTCATCTTCGTTTTTTCGCCCTCGTTTCGTCAAGATCATCATTGTTTGATTCCTATGAGACTTGGTTATTTCCCATCCTCGAGACAAAGTAATTATACTAAACCCCCTGAGGGGGCTGGAACCCGAGATTGTTTCCTCCCGCTGCAACGGAACACGCCAGAAGGCAGTCAGACGGGCAATGGCGATCCTCCACGCTCCGTATTCTGACGTCCGTCATTCTTAAAGACTCGAGCGGTGGTGTTTGTTATTCCCCCCTGCTAAACACTAAGCCTCATTCGGGAAGCTCCTCGCCGCCGTGCTTCCGAAGCCACTCACTCAATTCCTGCTGCGACTCCCTTCCTCCCGCGCCGGAAGCACCTGTGAGGCGCTGTGAATCAAATGAGTGGCTCACTTATCTCGTCCGAGAAAAAGGATCACGAATTCCACATCCTTATATCCCCACTTAACCTTTTCTGCGGTCGGTCCACACATCACCACAACTATTTCTTATAGGTAGGTGGACTTGTTATAGGGTTCCACCTCCCCCCCCACCCACAGAATAAATAGCGTCCCGGCAGCTGCCGTCACAACGTCACCCCTCCCTCCGACAAAAAGAAACAAGAGTTTTTCCGAGTTTCGACAATTCAGCATCACCCCCTTTTCGACCGTGTTAATAAGTATCAAACGTTGTGCCTTTCTTGGGGTTTTCAGCAGGAGTTGTAGTGCATAGATTACGCAATAATACGCGAGCTTCGTGTTATACACTATATCAATACAGGTACAGCAGGTTACGTGTAGGCACATTACATAGGTACTTTACATGTAGCGAACCACTAGTGTACATTACACTTCGGTCGACCAGCCGGGGCCAAGGACCTGGGAGTGGGCCAAGATGTGAATCTCGGTCGTGATTTCCGGCGGGTTATGGAGACGTTTTGTGTCGTTGTATTTTTTTTTCGGCTTCTTTTTCTTCTTCTCTTCGGCTTCCTAGGTTGCACGACAGGGGGGGGTTAAGGATGGCACCAATGAGACGTTGGGGATGTGCAGAGACTCATCACGGTTACAATTTACAGTTGTGGTGTGAGTGTTAAGCGAAGAAGAAAAAAAAGGTGGTGCGGGTGGTTGGGGATGATTAGATTGATGAAGAGAAATGTTCTTTGGCATGTTCTTTCTCCTTAAATCTGTTTGCGAGGAGGGGGAATGGGGGGTTTGGGGTTGGTTTGGAGGTTGGGGTGATTGAGGGGACGTGGGATGTCATGAGGGGAAAAGGGGGGATATGGAATATTTGGTAAGTTGGGGTTAGAAAAACAATTTTCAAAACTGACAGCAGATCATGGTTGTGAGTTTGTCAATGCTGCCTTTGTCTTTTTTCTCGTATAAGTGAGTGACTGCAGATGATGTGTCACTACTTTACGATGAGGGGGTCAAGTACGTGGCCCGATTGCGTGTACAGTTGTGCTTGAAGGGGGTGATGTAGGAGAGGGCTGTAATGGTACCTCACGTGTCAACAGTTTCGGTGTTGGCTTCGAAACGGACTGCCGATGATTGATCTTTATGATATTTCGGCTGTTGGAAAAGGCAGATGAGAGTTAGGTGACACGGGTGAATTGGGTGGGTGGCACAGTTGGAATTCTGCTTTTTCCATATTTCACCTTTGTGCGTCACACACTGCTCTGGACAACACGAGACTCGGCAAATGGGAATCCGAGCACGTAGGTATACACTGTGCTTTGTGACATGGAAGCCTGTGACGTTCAGTGCCCGTCTCCTCGTTGCATCCGAAGAGAAACAGCAGTGCGAGATTGTCCGTAATACAGTTATTGTTTTTCCATCACGAGCTTTCCCCTGACGTACAAGAAAAGGGATTGGGAGTTTCCTGTGGCTACGTTCCTTTAATCATTTTGAGCATCATATTAATTCAAGAGGAGTAACACATAGAAAATCAGCGTCATTAGAACCCGAAATCGATGATTCGAGATAAATAAGCTGAAAGCATGCCATTCCTGTCTCCTGGCTGATCAACATGCTGAAAACGAACCATACACTAAACTTGATAAAAGAATATAATTAACGATCAGAAGGTCTGTCAATTATATAAGCTTTCAAGAGCTTCTTGGAAAAATCACTTTTACCGACCCTATTTGCTGTTCTTGATATTGGATTTTGCATCTCTAGCCAACTTCATCGAGCACCATCTAACATTATGACACATAAAAAATATTCCATGTCACAATTTTCTTGGATATTGTCGTAATTTTCATGATTCCAAAGCTACTATTATTATTCTGACCATGTTTTAACCCGTAGTTATCACTCGTGGGTTTCTCTGAATCATCTTCAAGCTCAAAAAATGCCATCTCCATCTAGTTGCTCTCATCATATTATATCATCCGCCTCCTAGCCAAGATTCTTAATACGCAGCAGGGTAAAGGAAAGTCCCTAGACAATATACAAAGACCAAAAGGAGGGAAAAAATACGGACAATCATTACAGTGGTGGTGCGATGTCTCGTTACTTTGGTCAGAACGATACCATCCACACACTCACACACACACACACAATGTCTCACTGGTCTCGCCATCACACAACATTCCACGTGAAATAGTATAAGACAATGTCAGGTGTGACGTCACGTTTTCCTTTTTTTTTTTTTTTTTTTTTTTTTTTTTTTTTTTTTGTTAGACAAAGAATATTTGAGTATAATTACTGCGAGACGAAAATTATCACCAGAGTTTCTGTATATCTGTATATGTCAGTCCTCAAGCCACATAACCCAACCACAACCAGAAACTCACACACACTCCCCAGGACCCAGGGACTATTTATTTTAGATTCTGCTTTTCTTCCAATTCAACCCAAGGTAACAGTCCCCGTAGCGCAGTGATCGAGCGTTTGTCTGTTTTTTCTAGCGAATTTTGATTTAAAGTAGCGAAAGACGTCGGTTCGAATCCGACCGGGGAGAATTCCTTTTTCTTTTTTCGTTTCTTTTACCCTTTAGATTTCGTTATTTATTCCATGATTTCCTTACTTTGTGGTAGTTGATGGACGGGGAACACTGCCTATTTACTCCAATATTTTGGTTGATAATGGAAATCTAATGCTGTAGTAGGGTATCGATAGAGACACAGCATTTTCCAGGTCCAAAACACTAAAGCCATATAGAGTAGAATTTTACACACATGTAAAAACAGATGGAGGATAACTTTGTCGTATAAACCAAAACCGATCAGACTACAAACCCACAAAAAGAAAAAGAAATGAACTTCAAGAATTTCGAAAATGACCTAGCTGTCCCACAATCATAACCTCTCTTTATATCAGACGCGCCCAGTACCAGGCAGGATCTCATTGTCTCAAACTCCGTAAATAAACCCTCCAAAGATTCTTGTCGAATTCAACGGAGGAGTATGGAGAAAGTAGAAATTAAAAAAACACACACACACGCACACTGCAATGATCTCTTCAAGGGCAATACCTCGTGAAACAACCCTTCTAGACTCAACTTATCTTCTCTTCTGCGAACACATAAATATATTTACTACAATGAATCCGTATCAAAAAGAGCAGTTAAATGTTTTATGTTTCCCATAAAACGAGCAGAAAACATCGCAATCATGTATATACTTTGGCTCATCACTGACCGGAGGACAGCTTTCTCGGGTATCACCCAAGGTGTTCCTTCACGTCTGTTGTGTTGCCCGATTAGCCTAAAAAAAAAAGGAGGCAGCGCTAACACCTCTGCATATATGTACACTTAACTGTTATCCAAGCCAAAAATGAAAAAAAGATCCTTACTTGAACCCAGCCTAGACTAACATAGCTTACTGCCCAGACACTTGTGCTCACAGAATAAAAGTGTTTACGAGCCAAAAAAGTTTAGATATACCCAGAATATTAGCATTAAACAATATATATACGTTCCAAACAAACTCCTTCAACACCCCAACCCATGTAAACCCAAAAAGCCAATGCTTCCCAATGCCGCAAAAAGATGAGCTTTCCCTTCAATAATACAATAATACAACACGAAAGAAACATCATTGAGCACCCGCATAAGTCAATACATATGGTAAATCAGCTCCATCCCCATCACCAGCCAACCTAATAACCGACCCAGCACCAACACTTCTCAGACTTGCACTTCCCGACCCAGAACTGCTGCCCATCTGATATGGATGCCTAGTCTGAGCAAAACTCTCAGAACTCGACTGCCTAGTAAGCACCGTGTGTCTGCTCTTAGGCGTCGTCGGAGCAGTCTGGTAGTACAACCAAGTATTGGCACTCGAGTTACGCATGTTAAGTCCAGGTCTGATTTGACCTCCTCTGCCACCACCACCACCACCAGCAGAACCGGCACCAGACGAACTTGAACTATTCATCCGACTGTGCCCACTGCTATTATCTCTCGTCCTTATTACCTGTAAATATTGAGGCGTGCCCGCGCTTGACGGACTAGTCCCCCGCGGCGCATCGTTATCAATGTCGCTTTCCGTTGACGCCAGGCCTGATGATCCGTCATCGTCCTCGTATCTCGCAAGCATTGCCGGACTGAGTGGGTGCATATTTCTCAAGATCTCGGCAAAAAGATGCATCAGATTTCGAAACTGTTCATTAGAAAGGGGCCGAGCTGCAAATCGGGCTGCTTCGTACTTGGCGAGAAATTCAGTAGTTGTTGGCAAAGGAGCCAAGACGGCAAGATCGGTAAGGAGGGTAAGGTATTCTCGCAGTCCCATGTAGTCTGGTCGCTGAAGTAAAGCGACTGCGTCTGGGTCGAGGGAGGGTGGTTCTGTGTGAGATTCGGGATCTGGAGGCGCAAGGGTGAGGGCTTTTGCTTCAATCAGGTTTGGCAGTTCCAAGATTACTGAATCATACTGAAGATTCGGAAGGTCGGGAGACGTAGGTGATGCCCATCCGGGATGTTCAATCTTTCCCCAAACTTCCTTGTGTTGTGGGATGTTGATGCCGACACCTTGGACGGATACTGAGCTCTTTCTGAATTTGGATCTCCATCCCTTTTCTTCTGCTGCCGCCGGCGCCTTCTTGTTTCCAGTTGTCGCGAATTGTTCGGCCGGGACAATGGGTGGAACGCGGGGTCGGGCTTCATATGCAATTGCGGCGCTCCTGCTGAGGCCTTGAACGATCATCTGGCGCACGCTGCGGGGAACATCTCCCTTATCGATTGGGATCCACGACTTTGGAATGGAAGCTAACACGGAGCGACTGACGTAAAGACGGGTGGCGTAAATGAATAGGATGAGGAGAACGGACACGACGTAGCAGACTGCGATGACGAGGATGTTCCAGCTTTGTTTTTTGGGGACCGCCTGTTGGATTAGATCAGCGGGAGTGACGATGAGAAAGCCGAGCAACACAAGATATAAAAGATAGTAGAAGAAATTATAAATGATAATAAAGCAAAGAGATGCGGCCGACATGGTTGGTGATTCTTGTCTTGTCCAGATCAAGTTGGAAATGGAGGATTGCGCTGCGTAATTTTGCGACGGCGCACAAAGAATGACTGGTGAAACGGAACACCGGAAATCACAGAAATCATGATTGATGATGATTGCTCAAACGGGAGGCGCAAAGCAGTCCTTGAAGATGGACTGCAATTGAAGCGCCCCGCCAAAATTTGGCTTCATCACTGTCGGCGAGTTGCAATGGTGATGATGCAAAAGATGCATTGTTCCTGCAGTAGCCGATGGAGCCTGGAATTCAGGAGAAACAAGGGCAGCTGCCCGACAGGTGCTCGTCGGATGCACATACCAGCTCGGAATTTGCAGGTGGAATGCACAGACCAATTGCCTGGGTATATAATCCCGGCCACCCTCCCAACTTTTGAACTTTTTCTTCTTTTTCTTCTTCATACTTACCTTGTTCGGGCACGGCTGGATCAAGGAGCAGCTGTGCCAGAGTGATAAACCTGCATTGCACATCGTGGAGTTGGTCATTCTGAATTGTCCTTCGGGGCCGTTCCGGGCGCAATTTTTGATATTTTCCTCTTTTCACATTGATCATCGCTACATGTGGTGACACTGAGAAGAAGGTTGCATCGCAAATTCATTCTATCCACAAGAATCACGTTCACATCGCAAACTGTCAAAAATTATCGATGCCCAATTGATGGGACAGTCACATGAAAAGTTTAAATGGATGGGGGGTTACATCGCTCACTTTTTGTTCCCGTCCCTCAGTTCCGGTACCCGAGTTCCTCATCTTCTTTTTTTTCCTTCTGTGCATAATTATTACATCAACAAGCGATGCGAATCATTCAGTTCTTCGAGAAATGCTGTTGTTGAAGCAAGCAAGTATCAATTGAAATGTGAAAAAAAGAGATGATGCACGCCGAGACGGGATTTCCCCAAATTTTCGGGCAATCCCACCCACTTTCCCCGTGTTTTGCATGGGGTGCCGGCAAAGATGGAAACCCCCCACGCACGCAAACCCCAAGTTTATTCCCACAGCATCTTCACATGTCAGAAGAACATCACCCCGTGACGCCATGATTCGTGCCTGGTGCACCGCTTCGAGACAAGCCCCTCGATGGGCATTGAGGCCCATGTGGCATGTGGTCCCGTGAGCTTTTTTTGCTTGTTTCTTTGTTGCAGGCAAATCAATCCTTTTGCTTATTACTTTTATTTGTTATTGTTTTATTTTTGGGAAAAAGTAAAAACTAGATTTCAAACAACGGCGGTGGCCTGGCTGTGAGGTTTATTTTAATTTTTGTTCGAGTCAATTAACTAACCCCCTTCATTCCTCGATCCGTTCTTCTCATCGTCATTCCATGGTCGATAAAAACTCACCCGTTTTACCGTTTTCCGTTTTCCGTCAATCCAATCCAACCAACCCCACAACGACCGCCGTTTAAACACATACCCCAAAAGGAATGATCTCGTCGGTAGTAAAGGGTGGAAAAACAACATGATTGACCATGTGCTGGGAAGACCTTCCGTCAAGTCACGACGGCTGCAGGTCCTCGCTGTCTTAGCATTCTGGTCAGCCTACCTCTTCAGAGGAAACAAGAACGGTCCGCCAATATTTCGATTCCTCTCGCGATGGCTTTCCAAAAAGCTCACGTCATGGCAAACCTTTCTCATCACCATGCTCTACCTCTACTCGGCCAGAAACTTTAGCACCCTAGTCGGTTTGGCAAGTCCCGATCCGTTGGCAAACATGTACGATGCCACCTACTTCCGAGCAACATGGGTTCTCACGGCGCTGGATGCTGGGTTCTGGACCGCCATGAAGATTAGGCAGAAATGGCTTCGGGATCTCTCCAGCATTGCTTTCTCCTTGTTTTACCTGGTGGCCGCGGAAAAAGCAGATGAAAAGGTTCGCAAGGTTCGCGGGAATATCACTGTTGAGCATCTCAGAGTCAGCTGGAATAAGGGTGTTGAGTCTCCATATCTGAGGTTCATGCAAGGATTGATGCGACCTCGGTTTACCAAATGGCCCCCGAGAGCTATTCGCATTCCGAGACCTTCAACCAGCGATTACAAGGAACCAGTGCTCGGGTGGCTATACTTTGACGGGCCTCTTTCAGACCTCAAGTATCACAACCGCATTCTCCTCGACATTCCCGGTGGTGGTTTTGTAGCAATGGATCCGAGGTCTAACGACGACAAACTCTTTTCCTGGGCTGCCAAAACCGGTCTTCCCATCCTCAGTCTGGACTACAAGAAAGCCCCCGAGTACCCTTATCCCTACGCCCTCAACGAGTGCTACGATGTTTACTGCACCATCATCAAAACCAAAGGCCGCTGCATCGGTTTATCCGGAGACGAATTACCCAAAGTAGTCATAACAGGCGACAGCGCAGGCGGCACCCTAGCCACAGCAACGACCATCATGATTATCGAATCCGGTTCCTCCCCAATCCGTCGATTCCAAGGCCAGACCGACCTTCCCATCCCGGCCGGTCTAGTCTTGTTCTACCCAGCCCTAGATATGAACATAGGCAGC